TGCATCTTTTTCTTTCGCCGCGATGTTTACATTTGGCCTTGTTGATGACGCGCGTTCGGTAAAATTACATCACTGATCTGGGTCAATTGAGAATTTTAGACTGTCAGGTGACGATTTAGGATTTCTTTAATATAATTATAATTTTGGTTTCAGTCCCAGATTTTGACCTCTGTTAGGAGGGCTGTTGTGTATCTTGCTTCTGTCGGAATATACCAGGCGCTAATTACAAGCTCTTGGATAACTCAGATATCGATTTCCTTTTTAAACAGGAATAGGATAAAACCTAAAGGCGTTCCAAATTCCCCACGGGAATTACTTATAACCTAAAGATGTTCCGAGTATGAATCAGGCACCTTTGAGGTTCCCGAAGGGGTAATCTGTCGTATTATAAATTGCTATTGACCGATTTAGATATTTTAAGTCTGACCAACGACTACCGTTAATATTTGCGTATAGTGCGCACTTTTTGAGGGGAAAATGAAGTGTCAAGAAAGGGGTGTACACGATACTCAAGAACAATCCAAAACCAGTCCTTGGTCGCGACCATTTCTCGTAAATTTTCGAGGATTTTCGGAAATGTTTTGATATATGCTAACAGCAATACAACTGCTAAATTTCGTTGAGTATCCCTGATTGCATTGCCAATTTAACAATTACGAAAAGTTGCAAGTTTAAGTCATATAGGCCTAATACTATAGAATCGGATAAGTAAACTCGAGTAAAGTAGCTCAACTTTTCAGGACGTGATAAATACCACGTATCGGGAAACATAACGAAGAATTGCATCGGATTTATTACTCTGTGGTTAAAATGTCGTTCTTGGGTAAAATCTTGCTGAACTCTTTAATCTTGTCCGTAGGAATGTGTCAAAACGACACGGGTAAATTGGCGAAGTTAGCAAGTTTGTGTACTGCAAAGAGTCAAAGTTGCGTGATGCTATTAACCGGCAGGAATTTACAATGACATCCATGCGAATTGAACCGATAATGATAAAAGTATGAGTTTGAAAATTAAATATCAACGTGTTCAAAACAGCCAAATACATTCCGATCTTTTCTTTTCGAAGGAGAATTGTTGATATCACAATTGTTTGGTGTTCTTCATGTCTTGCGAATTCGGCTGTTGGCGGTCCTCGTCGGAGTGACCGCCTTTATACATTCTGCCGATATCGATGACCGATTCAGTTGGATTTGCAGACGATCAGAACTTGAAACTACTTGGAAAAGTGTATTTCATAACAAAACCTAGTAGAAGATTTATCCGTATATAAGATTGAATCTTTTCTGAAACTTATTGTTGTGAAAACAACATCGTTATATTCCAATTACCCGTTCTGCCCATGCCAGGTGACCGTGTCAGCGCGCATATCTCCCCGTATTCGAGGTGTCAGTCAACGCTAACGTTATATTTGCGACATGCTTTCCTATTAATTCCCTGTGCTGCCATGGCTACCTGAACAGTATGTATGTATTTACACCTGGTAATTGTTAACTATTTTGATTGACAGGTGGAAATATATCCGTTGTAGCTTGGTCAATGATTTATCGGAAAATGATCATACAGAATGATGGGGTGACTTTCATGTCATTCTGTCATATTTCTAGTTAACTCTTTTGGAGTGAATTTCAGCAAAATTTGAATCGGTATATGTCATAAGAAGGTATTTTAAACATGTGTATGCCATTTTAGCAAATATGACATTTTGTCCCCGACCAGCCCCTTTAACATTGGTATCGTTAACACACGTTATACCGTTTAGACAGCAGTGTTCACGTAAGTTGCCACCGGTTATTGCGACTAGCAAAGATGACAAAAAAACTTTGCCAATGCTAGTGTGACATATGGCTTACATTTCAGTCAGTGATATTTCATTTCCTTTATAGCATTATTGTAAATTACTTATATTAAGCATATTTACTTTATTTATTAAAATCTAGATTCAATGAGTACTTCAATGCACGAAAACGAAAGACCTATATTTGATTTTAAGACAGATCATTGACAAGATACCTGTCAGTTAAAGCCAGAATGAATATCTCGCGAAATATAAGTGATTTACAGTATACTTCATTCCTCAACAACGCTAAATCATCAGTCACTCTCGTCAACAACTTCCGGACTCTGACTAGCATCCGCAACGCATCTCTCCCAATCTCTGACTCCATTTGACAGGTTTTCACAGTGTTGAGCATATCCAAGTCAGGCGCGGATTTAGGGGGGGGGGGGGGGGGGGGGGCCACACCCGGCCCCGGCCCCCCCTTTTGGCGGCGGACTGACCTTTTCCGGGCCGGCCGTAATGGTCTGATCGGCCGGGAATGGGAATATATTAACATTTTAAAATGCATCAAATAATGCACGTAGCTTGTATAAAAAAAAATCTGGGGCTACGCCCCACACATCCCATACGGCATCCTAGCAAATATTGTGGGTTTCCGTTATCTGATATTTTTACCATATTTTCTTTATTAAAACAATATTTGTTGGCATCGCTACGCTCGTCTACTTTGTATCTTGACCCTGACGTGTGTTTTTTTTTATTTTACCACCTCCGCAAAACCCCAAGTTGCAACTTGCAACGCTCGCCGGAAATATACTAGCATAAGTTGCATAATTATATTATTGACCGCTCGTTATAGATGATCTGAAAATTAATACTTTTTATTGTAACCTTCCTAACCGCCCGGGCGATATTAATCATATCATTATACAAGAACGATAAAGTTTTTTTTCGGCTGACAATATTATGTATAATCGATTGAACATATCCATTCAATTATTTTGGTATTATATATATTATTCGAACTGTTTAACTATCTTGTATGTACAACATAATATCTCATTGTATGTACAACATAATATCTCATTGTGGTACTTATAGCTTACCATCGTGTACGTACAAGAAAGTATCTTCATACAGCATACTATTGTGTACGTAGTAATAAGTTGTACGTACCAGAATGAGATGATATGCTGTACTTACAAGTATGATAATTTTAAATTAAATTTAAAGGTGACGCGTATGTGCCTCGCCTCCTAAGTTGTACCATTTTAACCAGATAGCTTAGCAAATGTACCACCGTTGGTAATTATGCACGCCCTTAGATGAGTTAATCAGCGTAGACATTTCAGATATATCATTGTCTACACTAGTGAATTAGTCAACAATAATAAAACGCGAGACTATATCAGGGGCGGGTCCAGGTGAGGGGGTAATGGGCGTACGCCCCCACTCCCCTCTTTTTCAAAAGAAAAAGATTTTTTTTTATCGTAATCAGCTAATATTGTATTGAATATGGCAATTATCATATTCATTAATTAAAGACATACTCTGATAAAAAAAATGTCAAACCATGACACTTCAACTATAAAATATACATGAAAGGAACCGTTACATTAGTGCATTTCACAATTATTTTATGTTTTTTAGCAAAAAAAAAGGTTTAAAAAATGTTTCGCCTCGCTCCGCTCACCGACAGATTTTATTATACGCCCCTCTTTCAAATATCCCAGAAACGCCCCTGTATATAGCTAGTGGCCTTGGGTGTCGCACTGATTTGAACTTACCGTTTGTTTACCAACTTAGTGATGCCATGAGTAACTCATTAATTAAACAGCAACGATGTTATGGTGTTATTTGAAGACTAGATTTATATTTTGACGGTGGACCTCTCGTATCCCCCTTGCGGGCGGGACGCCAAATTAGGTAATAATGAACAAGTCCCCTGTGGATTCATACATTTGTCATCACCAGGTTGCCCCTATAATAATACCATCTGACTTCTAAAACACGCTGTTGGTAGAGAATTTGAACCGAAACTTTAATTTTCTTTCCAGTACACAAAAAAAGTCTTTGGGCCATACTTAAAATCTGTTTTTTTCTTCTTGTTAATTAAACATAAAAACAATCCTCAGAACACGGTAAATCGTTTCTGAGACGTTCTAGAAAACACATTTTTTGGGGGGGGAGATCCCCCAAACCCCCCTTACGGGGAGGGGGTCTGTACCCTCCCCCTCCTCGCGCTACGCGCTCGGGCTGCTGCCTTTCGCAGCACACCGTTGACTATTGAGAAAAATTTCTCGGCCCCCCCCTTTTAGGAAATCCTGGATCCGCCCCTGCAAGTTACCAAAGTATTGCCGCGATGTGCGCACATACTCCAAATACTCAAGACCCCGCTCGACATTTACAATACATGCCTCGATATTGGATATATGCCTTAGCTGCCACGTGCCTACTTAGGATTTTCACAAGGAGATGATTGCCTCTTCTTCGTGGAAGAGAATTTCACTGTTTCCATCTATGTGTTCCTGTATGTAACTTGTACTTAATTTCAGCTACGTGTACACGAACGTTAGGTTTCGAAGCTGTTCTTCGTCAAACATAGAAATACATACCCCAAAAACACTGCTTTTACACCCCCTTTGTCCACCTACCAAGGCCTATGTGCGTGTTTTCCCCCATTTCAAATCCTTCACTTCCTTTACTAAGCTTATCAGTCCTATAAATAAAGTTAAATAGCTCAGTGCATCAAAACCGGATCGTACCGGATCGTAACCCTTGGCTAGCGAAGATGTGCGCAGTGTTAGATCAGGACAGAAACGTATGTCCCTGATGAGATATAAATACTAAAATATATACGGTGTGATATTTAATTATTTTTATTTTTTAAATTCCACTGTTTAAATGACAACTTTCCATCTAATATGGTCAAAAGCAACATTTTGGAAGTATTAACTTTGGGCCAAGGGTAGAGGTAAACACAGGACTCTTAACATAGCACCAAAAAATACGAGCACACGGAAGCATTTAACTTAATTGTGACCTCAGTCCGTGCGTGAGTATTTTGTACACATGAAAATTATTCGTTTTCTGACAAATTCGTGAAATATGCACTGTGTATTTCGGGGGAAGTTTTAAATATTCTCTATATAGGCCTGTTCCGATGTCCCTTAGTCTTTTACTGAAAGTTGGGTTTATCCGGGCATTAGTACAACCCCTTCCTCAAAACAACCATGCACAATATGTGGTCTTCATGTAAAATGTTGGTTTTCAAAGAGCTTGTGGATGCATGCCAGGACGAATATTGTCATGAAATTTGGTTTCAGGCTTAGGTCATTAACCGCAGAGTACAAAACAATTTGAAAGAATCTGTTGACAGTTGGTGAAAGTAAGTATTAAGTATTGCCCATGGATCCTGTTTCACAGGAATTTGGCGTTATTTCAACTAAATTCAAGATAATATGTAACCGCATTCTAGACACAGTGGCACGCAACTACTAGTAGTTGCTTGACTGCTTGACCGGACTGTGCCAGGCGGCGGACATCTGGGATCACAGGGACTTGAGAATTTGTTGCAGCTATATTTGGACCTTAACCTGTTAACTACGGTGTTTAGAGTTATTTTACACGTTTGGCGAGTTTATATCAATTTTCGGTAAAAAAAAAAACAACCCACTAAAATGATGATAATATATGAGAAGGGCGGAAAGCTCTCAATGACACGCAACTAATATTAATATTGATCTTATATCCCAATCTTGTCGTACCCACCTAACTTTCTTGCATAACAATTTTAGGTCACCTGAGCTTTGCTTTCCGTCCGTCGTGCGTAAACGTTTTACATTTTCAACTTCTTCTCAAGAACCAGTGGATGGATTTTTTTCAAACTTTGTCAGAATCATCCTTGGAAGATGAAGCTACAAAATTGGGATTCCTACCCCAACCTCTGGGGCCAGGGCAGGGCCCCAAAGGGAAAATTAACCAGACTCAGAGGTACTACGTTCAATTTCAGTGCATAAAAAGAAAGATCATCAACGGTTTTATTTAAATTGTAAATTTCAGGACCCCCGAGCTATCCGTTCTCCCTTTGGGAGGGAGTTAAGTTTACTATAGTTTATATAGGGAAATAAACCTTTTGGGTATATTTTGACAACTTTCTGTAGGAAATTATTTTTACTTTGTGAGCATTATCCTTGAAGGAAGATGGTTTCAAATTGTAAAATTGAGATTCCTACCCCAACTCTAGGGGCCAGGGCGGGGCTCCAAAGGGAAAATTAACCAATATTTAAAAAATCTTCTTTTCCAGACTCAGAGGTTATACATTTAATTTCAGTGCATAAAAAGAAATATCATCAGGAGCTTTATTTAAATTGTTAATTTCGGGACCCCCGAGCTATCAGTTCTTCCTTCGGGAGGGTGTAAAGTTTACTATAGTTTTTATAGGGAAATAACACTTTTGGGTATATTTTATCCATTTTCAGCAGAAAATTATTCAAACTTTAAGTCAGAATCATCATTGGTGAATGAGGGTATTACATTGTAAAATTAGGATTAGGGCCCAAAAGGGAATATTTACCAATATTTTCAAATTCTTATCCTTTGATGACATGACAAGTATTGTATTTCACTAAGTTTACATGCCGATTCCACATCACATCTAAGCAATAAAATAAAGCTACCACTACCTATGATATAACTCAGGTGACCGCTAAGGCTCTTGGGCCTCTTGTTTACATATTCATGAGGTTGACATCAGAAACATGCTGAAACATTGGCTGGCTGAGGAATGGTTGTGCTTTTCTGAACATTTCGTGGTTTGCTCTCGATGCTATTTACACACAAGAGGATTCACAAAACGTCAACCTCCTGGGATTCATAGAATCGTCCACCCTCCTTGGGGTGAGATGGGGGAATCTCAAGCCAAGGCAGAAGATTCTTTACGTTATAGTTGCCAGCACGAAGCTTGCCCTGAGCATGGAACTTCCCTTAGGGGTTGAGGTTCCCCATTCACCTCAAGGGATTCTTTTTTCTTACCCTGTTGACCTTTCATATACAGTAAAACCCTGTTTACGCGAACTCGTAGGGTCAAGATCAATAGTTCGAGGAGTACATGGTATTCGACGAAACCAAGGTTCGACCAGCATTGTCATTTTTTATCAAGTTGGACAGCAGACAGTACAAGCACTGCAACTATTGCAGATAGTAAGAAGAAAAAAGAAGTTCAATAAAAATTACCGCATTTAATCAGATTTAAAATGGCTAAACTTTATCGGGATGAAAACAAATAGCCACCGGTATAAAGAAAGTTATAAAAGTAAAATGCTGCATGTGTAAAGTACTTATCATTTTGACATAGTCAGCCATACTGTAATCGGCTACAATAATTTTACAAAATATCAAAGCGAGAGGAACTCTTCTATCATTTTAAAATGAAGAAAATCTTCAATCCTTTTAACATCATAATGTCGATTGATAACGAGATTAACAATTACAACGGATTCAAGTTTTAATATCTTTAAAGTTGGTAGGATTCTGCTATGTGATTTCTGCTTAATATTGCCATGCTAAATTATGGTTTTACACACCCAAGTGATTAGCACTTCCACCAAATCATCGATGTGCAAACATTGTCTGGAAAAAATAAATATGCACACAGAAAGATAATGCAGCTTTCTACAACAGAGTAACGATAGTTACTTTATGATACTACCTTTAATCATCTAATTATCCGACGTCCAGCCGACACCTGTAAGTAAGCACAATGAGCATGGATTGCAGCCTGTGCGTTGAGACATGTCGACGGCAGTGCCGGTACCTGACTACCTGTGATACACTTTATACTTTACAAAGAATATGTAAGAACTTTTTCGGGACCAAACAAACTTCGACGAATGTCTGGGTTTTCGAGTAAACTGAGTTTGTTGACGTGACCTCATTCAATTGTTATGAATAAGGGAATCCCCACTCCTCAATCTTGGGGTGAGACTAATATATTCTCCCACCCTTCACAGGGTTGTCTCCCTTTAAAACAGAAATTATTAACTTGTCATCCGTTACAGTGGCTCAGGATTACTGCCGAATACAGGCTGTTACCCTCAGAAAAACCTCGGGTTAGACAATCAAGAATATCATCCCTCAGGGCTGGAGATTATTTTTCTCCCACAACAAGTGGTAATTTCCAGAAAAGGAAACATGTATTTGATAAATTTTTGTTGACGTTGTAGTGTAATCAGACACAGAACCAACACATGGAAATAGCGGGCACAGACTAACTTTATTACCAACAAGTAAAAAAGAGTTCCAGTCGTACATTGCAAGGGGGATAACTCGTTCGGTCATAGCATATAAACTATTACAGACGTGATGTCATTGCATCGTTGACATGACATCAATGCATTGTTGATGCGACGTCATGTAATTGTTATAATGGGAGTATCTCACATCTTTACTCAAGGGTAAAACAAAGATTTTCTTTCTCTTGCGGGAACAGTGGATATCTTTGTCTAAAAGGGGTGAAAAGGATAACTAGCACCTGGAAAAGTGTGGGTATACTTGTCCAGGGAAAGAGAAATCATAGCTCTGTATATCTTACCCACCAAGTGCTTGTCTTCCTTAATTGGGATACCCAGTTTTGTTCGGATATAAGCATTTTCAGTTAAAAAAGAACTTTGCAAAAAATATTAAACAATTGGAAATCTCACTAAGCAAGCTTGTTTCACTACTTAAATAATTACTAACCTGTTGAATAAGCATGACAATTTTGATTTTCTGATTGTTAACGTACCACTATCAGATTATAACCAAGTTTTAAGGTAATTTTAAAGGGGTTGGACCAATTGAGATTATAAGGGTTACTCTTTCAGACACAATGGCTTCATGATCAGTGCAGGTAAGGGGATTTTACAATTAGAATAAATGATTCCTGGGCCTAGTGGATTCAATATTACCCAAAAAATGGTGTATTCTTCCACAGGGCAGAGGGATGGAGCTGAATAGTGGAAATATGGATAATTAAATCTTTTTCAAAGAGTACTTCGGGTCATTTTCAATGTGCATGTTCACATTCAATTCTGTGTACAGACCCCAGATCTGGACTATTTATTGTTGAGCTTTACTTTTGTTTTCAAGGCAAAGGTTTTTTACACTTCTTTCATCTTTATTCAAATAATTTTTCATGTTTCCTGTGTCTGAACATACTAGGCAGAAGGATTTTGAAATAGTCGTAGACTAAGGTTCAAATTTCTGAAGTCAACGAAATAGACATTTCTCTTGAAATTAAGTCTTGTTTTGGTGAAAATATTCAATATTGAGTAATATTGACAATATGTACATCTATTTAAAATTATTTTTTGATAAATAAAGAGCGGAAAAGTAAAAAATTGAACTAAAATGAAACCTTTCTTGATGACACCCATGGCCAGATGAGTTATTCAGGCATATAGATCTGGGCATCTTATTCTATGTTTTTTTGCCACAATTCCAGAAAGCCTCGGTGATTATTATAGATTAGATGGGATATTATCAGAACCTCCAATGTGTATGGTAGTGATGGGCTGAGGGTCGATAATAATCGAAAATTGATCAGTTTGTCCTTCCTGATTCCGATTATTCCATTAACAATATAATCGGTTCAAAGTAAAAAATGTATTGAAAGTCATATATTTACCATATGATTGATAAAACTGCATAAAAATTGCTTGAAATCCATTCGTTATGAAAGATTGAAACCTAGTGTGTAGGTAACAACTCTGTCTATTGACATTATGTTGGAGTTCTCACTTTATTTGGGTATTCAGTCCCATAAAATAATGAACCAATTATGCAATTGATCATCGATCGGTTTACTACTTCTGATTACAAACCGAATATTGATTATGATTTTAAACTGATTGGCCATCACCAGTATATAATTAATTTACACCTTTGATTTTTTTTTTTGTGTATTTCAGATGATACTCCAGATGGCTTACAAACTTACTAGACTGTTGGGACCTGGATCTACCTGTAGAAGAAGCTTTTCATTGCTCTCTAATACCAGTCCTTACATTCCTCATTCAAGTTGGTCAACTATATTTCAGTCTGTCTTTAGAAGCCCAAAAGAAAGTGCTTGTTATGTTAAATCACCCTTACGTGGAATTCGATCTCTACATATAAGAAGCAGATGTGGAATAGGTAACAAAATGACAAGGCCATATCGTCAACCTCAGCTGCAAAACGGGCCATTTTCCCCTTCACGTTGCAGCTCAGAGGCGTGCAACAGAGAGTTGGATACCATCGAGGATGAGGTCACAGTGGATTGTCAAAAAGGGCAAGAAACATTGAAAGATTTTCTGATGTTGGCTGAATCTAGGGGCATGCGCGTGAGCACAGCAGAGTTGAAGAAAGTTATAGATGATGTTATTGCTGCTGTTTATTCCAATGGAAAATATCCTTTTATAGCTCTGTATGATATATTTCAAGATCAAAGTTCTACAGGAAAAATGGGATCAGCTGGAGAAACAGGTATTTTACAACTGTTCCGTGAGCAGCCTTTATTGAAAGACTTGGCTACCTGTCCCGAGATTGAACCCTTGTTAGCACTGATCAATGATAATTTGCCGGCTATGACTGCAAAGGACAAGGCTCACCTATACTTCTGCCTAAACTATTTGGGAATACATGAAGTACATGCCAACCACCCAGTGATGCACAAACTGTTCTATGTTTTAACTGAGCCGGCAGGAGGACTCGACTTTGAAGATATCTGCAAGTTTAAATTGGTTTTAGAAACTATTTCACATCAAGAGTTAGTGAGGAACCAACTTTTGCTCCCACATTATAGGCATCTAAATTCTGTGGGTATTCTGAATGGATTAGAAAAGCAACAGTTTGTGCGAGCGATGTCATACTCACCAAGGCTGTATAACAGGTTTGACAATACCTATTCTGTCCCTGTGAATTTCTCCCAGATTTGGCATGCTCTGGTTACAGATGAGGATATTATGAATAATCCTGAAAACATTGTGATTATTCTAAACCATTTTGGTTATCATGCACATCAAGAGATTATTCCATATATAGTTAAAACCGATATCTATGGTAGAATCGAAGGAGCCATTCTACGACAGTTGGAAAATATGGACATCAAAACTCTAGGCAAACTATCTGAAGCAAAGGGGTTCATGGAATTTACTGATACTTCCAGGGGATTGAAATCTGCATTGCCAGATCATTTGCAGAGAATATTGCACAGCACATCAAATATGAATACCGTTGATATGCTCAGTGTAATGAATTTCTATAGAATTAGTGATTTTCAGCTCCCACAGGATGCTCTTGCTATTCTTATTCAGCAAATAGAGAAAAACTTTCCTGAGTTAAAATTAATCCATTCTATCGCCTTTCTGAATATGTTGTGTATAATGATGAGGAAACACAAAAATGAAAGCCTCCCTCATTTTGACAGACTGATGACTTTAATGAACACAGATTCTAAGGCCGAAATGTTTGCATCAAAAATAGCTTTTGAAAGGTTAGTGATTAAGTGGAAGCTGCTCAGCCTAACTCCTGAGGCCTTCAAGACATACATACAGCAAAATTTGCTTCTCAACAAAGGATTTGGTACAAACAGAAGGTGGTTACCTGTTGTATTGCAAGTGATGGAAAAAAAGTTTGACGATTATGTTCTTAAAAAGGATTTGAAGGAAAGGATCTTTTCTGTTTGTGAAGGGGAAATGAGTGTGAACTCCCTTCTGTGTATGTGTTTCTCTATTCATCATGTGTCAACCATCTCATACAACCTTGATATTAACCATGAACAAATCGAGTTTTATAAAGAAATTCTACAATTGTTCAATAGAAAGTTGGCTGACACAACTGATCTAAAAGTAGTAGCAGAATGCTTTACAACTCGCCATGATATTAGGAAGCATCAAGGTTGTTCTGTAATGATGAAGGATGCCTTAGAAAACTTGATAGACAGGACATCAGCATTGATGCTACTTCCACATCAACAAACAGATGCTGTAAGCCTTGCTAAAATGATAAACCATCACTTCTACAGACTGTCCAAAGAGTTCTTTCACCTCACGACACCTGCTGTGGACCAACTGGTCACCAACCTGTTGGCTGAAGAACAAACCTGTGGTACTGACGATTTTGTTACCCTGACAAATCTGATAGCATCTGGTGTTATGAGCAAATCAAAGCGGCAACAGTTAGAACAGTTTGCAGATATGTTATTTGAGGAAAACATGGATTTCATGAATCTGGACGCCTTATTGCTTGGTCTTGACAACTTGTGTCTGGCAGGTGTATTTCCTCCCAAAACTCTTACAGCGGTCATGTCACCGGATTTTCTTACAGCTTTGGATCAATGCATCAGCGAAAAGTCACATCGAGGTGGGTTAATTGCTAGACTTTGTAGAATATTGAAGGAAAGTAATCAGCAGCAAAGTAAAGTAAACGCTTATAATTAAGGCCATCCTTAAAAATATTTGTAAATTTCGACTGACTAAAACTAGCACCTAATCTATTATTATTTTTAGCTCACCTGGCCCGAAGGGCAAAGTGAGCTTATGCCATACTGCGGCGTTCGGTGTCCGTCTGTCAAGTTTTTCTTTTGAACGACTTCTTCTGAAAAACTGTAGGACCTAGGGTCATGAAGGTACCTGGGATGGAGTGCTATAAAGTTTCCTCATTAAAATTACCTTGACCTACTTTCAAGGTCACAGCAGTCAAATATGTGAAACATTTCAAACAACAATATCCTAAGAACCATGTGAACTAGAGTCATGATACTGAGGTATGGTATGAAGACCAGCAGTGCAAATATTTTTCTCGATTACGGTAATGAGGTCAAAGGTCAACTTTAAATGCTAGTCGGGGGTCAAATTTCAACTTTGGTTAAAAGCTTTAACAATCTTCTTCTCAAGTTCCATAAGGCCCAGTGTCATATTTAGCCAGTAGGTACCTGGGATATAGTGCTAAAAAATTCCTCATTTAAGTGACCTTGACCTACTTTCAAGGTCACAGAGGTCAAATATGTTAAAAACTTCAAACAACAATATCCTAAGAACCATTTGGACTAGTCATGATACTGAGGTATTTTATGTAGATCAGCTGTGTGAATTTTTTTCTTCATTACAGTAATGAGGTCAAAGGTCAACTTAAAGGGCAAATCAGGATTCAAAGGTCAATATGGGTTAAAGCTTTAAAATTAAAATTTCAAGTTTCAAACAACAATATCTTCAGAACCGTTTAAGAGATGTTAAAATGTCTTGTGTTCTAGCTACCAAATTTGGTCTTAAGTAACCTATGTCAGTTGCATGTAACAAAAGGAACAGGTGAGCGCTACAGGCCCTCTGGGTCTCTTGTTCTCAGTTACAGTTATGAGGTCAAAGGTCAACTTTAAATGCTAGTCGGGGGTCAAATGTCAACTTTGGTTAAAAGCTTGAACAATCTTCTCCTCAAGTTCCATTAGGCCCAGGGTCATGATATTTTGCCAGTAGGTACCTGGGATGAAGTGCAATAAACTCTCCTCATTAAAATGACCTTGACCTACTTTCAAGGTCACAGGGGTCAAATATGTTAAAAACTTCAAACAACAATATCCTAAGAACCATTTGGACTAGAGCCATGATACTTGGGTATGTTATGTAGATCAGCTGTGTGAATTGTTTTCTTGTTTCAAACAACAATATCTTCAGAACCCTTTAAGAGATGTTAGAATGTCTTGTGTTCTTGTTACCAAATTTGGTCCTAAGCTACCTATATGTCAGTTGCATGTAACAAAAGAAACAGGTGAGCGATACAGGCCCTCTGGGCCTCTTGTTACTTTTCATAATGATATTCCTTGCTGAAAGATGATTGTTAGTAAGTCTTTCAATCATCCTTCAGCAAGGAATATTAATATGACATTTCAAGAAATAAACTGCTTACTGAAAAGATGTGTGTAGGGAAACGGCAATCAAACAATTTTGTAAGGATGGCCTTAGGATTGACTGATATCATCTTTCCTTGTGACACTATTTTCTGATACAGGGTACGGCATAAGTTCACTTTAGGACCAGACGAGCTAAAAAGCAGATATATTAATAGCAAAAGTTACACAATTCTTCAAAACAGGGCAAAACTAATAAATACACACCAGTACAGCAGTTAAAGGTACTTATTGAACATTTAAGAGAAGAATGTACCACAATTGTTGGTTTCAATTGTTGAATATGTTGAGAGTTGATGAGCTTATGCCGTACCATAATATCCATCTTCGTCTTTCCTTCCTCCATCCATCCAACTGTTCAACAGTTTTTTCAAACGACTTCTTCTGAATTGCTGATTGGAATTGAACCAAATTTGACTGATGGTACAAATGGTTGGGCTGAACTCTGAGGGGCTGAGGTAGAGGGCCAAAAAAAAGAATTCCAAATTGTGTGACTTATGAATTTGGAAAATTGAGTTCGTACTACAGTTTTAAGATAACACATAATTTTTGGGGGGAACACTGATTTACTTCATTATAGACAATAATTTGTTATGTGAAATTTGCAATATGATCATATAATTACATTGAAGTAATAATTAAAGGAAATAAGCTGGGGAATCATAATCAGTTTGCAATACCCAGGAAATCACAATAAGCATTTTTATACTTAAAGTGTTTTACTGTATATCCAGATGGAAGTTAAGTGCAGTAAAACAGTGATGATCTAAATGAGATGATTTATTTTCTGTGAATGATCTGCATTAGATTTTTTTTTCTTTCTTTTATTTTTCAGTTATTTCCAGAGAACATATTGAGTATCATCTGCTGCGGTTGAACCGCAGTGTTGTTTTTGAATGTCCTGCATTGCACATACCATGGTTCTGTGGGAAGTTTGCTGTTGTTCACAGGATGCCTCGATATGAATGTATGTATAATGTCAAAAATACTGGCTCAGTTTGTTACCGTAAGACAGTTGACTGGTCATATGATACACTGGTGTTTGTTACCCTACAACTGTTGACTGGTCATATGATACACTGGTGTCTGTTACCCTACAACAGTTGACTGGTCATGTGATACACTGGTGTTTGTTACCCTACAACTGTTAACTGGTCACATGATACACTGGTGTTTGTTACCCTACAACTGTTGACTGGTCATGTGACACACTGGTGTTTGTTACCCTACAACAGTTGACTGGTCATATGATACACTGGTGTTTGTTACCGTACAACAGTTAAATGGTCACATGATACACTGGTGTTTGTTACCGTACAACAGTTAAATGTTCATGTGACACACTGGTGTTTGTTACCCTACAACTGTTGACTGTTCATGTGATACACTGGTGTTTGTTACCCTACAACAGTTGACTGGTCACATGATACACTGGTGTTTGTTACCCTACAACTGTTCACTGGTCATATGATACACTGGTGTTTGTTTCCCTACAACTGTTGACTGGTCATGTGATACACTGGTGTTTGTTACCCTACAACTGTTGACTGTTCATGTGATACACTGGTGTTTGTTACCCTACAACAGTTGACTGGTCACATGATACACTGGTGTTTGTTACCCTACAACTGTTCACTGGTGATATGATACACTGGTGTTTGTTACCCTACAACTGTTCACTGGTCATATGATACACTGGTGTTTGTTTCCCTACAACTGTTCACTGGTCATATGATACACTGGTGTTTGTTACCCTAAAACTGTTCACTGGTCATATGATACACTGGTGTTTGTTTCCCTACAACTGTTCACTGGTCATATGATACACTGGTGTTTGTTTCCCTACAACTGTTGACTGGTCATGTGATACACTGGTGTTTGTTACCCTACAACTGTTGACTGGTCATGTGATACACTGGTGTTTGTTTCCCTACAACTGTTGACTGTAATATTATGTTAATATAAAGTCAGTCATTGTATGTTACTTTTCATGGCTTATGTCCAGTGTTGAAATAAGACATGGCACAAAAACATAACTTACACATGTAGATGCCTTTTACAATAAATACATGAAAGTTCCACTGTTGTGATGAATTAAATAATACTGGTTAAATAGTGTTAAAAAAAATTGCAAATGGGGCAATTTCAGGGGCAAATGAAATAGACAGCATTTCATTAGCTCACCGGGTCCAAAGGACCAAGGTGAGCTTATGCCATACCGTGGCGTCCGTCGTCCATCGTCCGTCAACAATTTCTTTAAACGACTTCTTCTTCTTAACCACTTGTTGGAATTTAACTAAATTTAACTGGAAGCATCCCTAGGTGGTGGGGATTCAAAATTGTACAAATGATGGGGCTGACCCCCCAGGGGGCTGAGGGGCGGGGCAATTAGGGGGCAATTTGGCTATATTGCTTTAAGCGACATCTTCTCTGGAACTATGGGATGGATATCAACCATATTTAATTGGAAGCATCCCTAGGTCGTGTGGATTCAAAATTGTACAAATGGTTGGGCTGACCCCCCAGGGGCCTGAGGGGCGGGGCCAAAAGGGGGCAATTGACTATATTGCTACAAATGACTTCTTCTGTAGAACTATGCACTGGATGTCAATCATATTTAATCAAAACGTTCATGGGAGGCAGGGATTCAAAAATGTACAAATGGTGGGGCTGACCCCTGTGGGGGCTGAGGGCTGGGCCAAAAGGGGGCAATTTGTCTATATTGCTCTAAACGACTTCTTCCGTAAAACTATACCATGGATATTGATCATATTTGGTGGGAAGCATTCATGGGAGGCAGGGATTCAAAATTGTACAAATAGTGGGGCTGACCCCCCGGGCTAAGGGGTGGGGCCAAAATTTTTTTTTTTTACTTGGAAATGGTTGAGATCCCCACCATATTACCATTTATACAATTGCTGAGTATAACGAGAGGAATGCACATTTGCTTCCAGGATGGCCCTAGGGTCTGGCCCCACCCTTGGAGACTTAACCCCTGGGTCATAACTTTGAAACCGTTAAGATCCCCACCCCAAAACTATATATACAATTGTTGGGCATAAAGAGACGAATGCAGTCATAATATTAGAATTGACCCAAGGGTCTGCCCCACCCTTGCAGACATAACCCCTGGGTCATAACTTTGAAACGGTTGAGATCCCCACCCCAAAACGATATACAAATGCTGGGCAAAAAGAGACAAATGCAGTCATGATATTAGAATTGATCCTGGGGTCTGGCCACAACCCTAGGGACCTAGTTTCTGAGTCACAGCTTGGAAACAGTTGAGATCCCCACCGCATAACCATACATAAAATTGCTGGGCATAAAAAAAATCAAATACAGATATGCTACAAGGATTGGCCTTGAGGTCTGGCATATTCCCTTGGATCTCATTTGGAGAATATTTTGCCATGATTGCTTAGATATCCAGGTGAGCGATACAGGCCCTCTGGGCCTCTTGTTATTTCATTGAGTCCTATTTGAGTAGAATTAAATTATTCTTCAATGGAAGATGACAGCTAGCATCTTCTTCTGATTTCATACTTTTCATCTTTACATTTTGTTTTCTTTTTGTACCAAGATCTCCAAAAGTTTTGTAAGAAGACTGAGAATGTACTGTTGGAAATTTTGGGTGGAGAGAAGTTCCTGAGCGTGAATTCAATAACCCGGTTCAAGCACTCAGTAGGTAAGAACGGAGTGTTACACTTGGGAAAGTACATGCAGTTGTAAGTGGAAGTGAAAAAAGAGCTCGAATGTATGTTAACCCATTAACTAAATATTTCCTGCAGCAATAATAATAATAATAATAATTTGAGGTTCTTATATATACCGCTTTATCACAACCTAGTTCGTAGGTCGTCTCAAAGCTGTTCACATATTATCTGTGGTTATAGGGCCTTTTGCAACCAGCCAATACCTTTCTCAACTCCCTGGGGAGCATACAGCCAGAGCTGCCATTTTGGTGCTAACAGCTAGCATTCAACAATTCTGCCAAACCACATACTCATTTACACAGACCTGCTTACCCCTGAATCTCCCAATGGGGGTCATGACCCCCATTGGGAAATTCTGTGGGGAGTGATAACGCGTGACAAAATAAATCACATCAGAATTAATCATTTAATTGTCGCGCCATCACGGCATAACATATGTTGTGTCTTCTGGTAGGATTTAGGACTTTTTAGGTCACCTGAGCTTTAGCTCAAGTGACCTATTGCTATCCGTTTTCGTCCGTCGTCGTCCGTCGTCCGTCGTCCGGTCTTCCGTTAACATTTTACATTTCAAACTTAAAGTCAAGTTCTGCTGGGCCGATTGAACTGAAAGTTGGTAGGAATGATCGCCTCATGGTCCTGACAAAGTGTTGTTATTTTTCGGGTCGATCAGAAATCCAATATGGCCGCCACGGCCGCCATTTTGAAAACCTATTTCAAACTTAAAGTCAAGTTCTGCTGGACCGATTGAACTTAAAGTTTGTAGGAATGATCGACTCATGGTCCTGACAAAGTGTTGTTATTTTTCAGGTCAATCATAAATCCAATATGGCCGCCACGGCCACCATTTTGAAAACATATTTCAAACTTAAAGTCAAGTTCTGCTAGGCCGATTGAACTGAAACTTTGTAGGAATGATTGACTCATGGTCCTGACAAAGTGTTGTTATTTTTCAGGTCGATCAGAAATCCAATATGGCCACCACAGCTGCCATTTTGGTAAACTATTTCAAACTTAAAGTAAAGATCTACTTGGCCGATTGAACTGAAACTTTGTAGGAATGATCGAATCATGGTCCTGACAAAGTGTTGTTATTTTTCGGGTCAATCAGAAATACAATTTGGCTGCCATGGCCGCTATTTTGCTACTAAGTTCTAATAGGCCGATCTCACTTAAAATTGGTCTAGGAATGATCAGCTCATGGTCCTGACAAAGTTAAGTTAACATTATACTATTTTTTACTCAAATTGGTACATATTTCAACAACAAAAATAAATACTATAGACTCAGGTGACCGTTAAGGCCCATGGGCCTCTTGTTTTTTTAAATAGATAAAACAAATCTTTTCACACATTTTGTTATTACATTCTCTTCTTTCAAAATACTTATTTCCCTGTACATACAGGTAGTTTGAGTTAATTGTAGAAAACTTTGCATCTTTCATCATTAACACATACTGGGAGCATGAACTCATCTTGAAGCTCCTCTATCTATTTCTCTCCCTCATCTTTATGTACTATATTGGGAATCTGACTGCCTGCAGGTTGGAAATTGGAAAAAAAAAAAAAAGTAAAATATGCATTTAATGTAAAAAACAGGTATTTATAATATTGGTTTGATAATAATATTTTGGTACACCAAAATTTGTACGACTGCAACAAATTTTAAAGCAATATCATGATCTGCCGTTGAGAAAGTAATATGCTCAGAATTTAAGCTACTAATTAACGACTTCGTGTTTATAACCTTGTCGTCACAGTTTGTGAAAATCGTTCAGGTATATCTGTTGATGTAATAAAGAGCACACGAACCTACCGAAAGAATTTAGGTAAACAGTAGAGTACAGTTTACAATATGAATGATCGATCGGGCTCAACATTTTTAGGTCACCTGAGCTTTAGCTCAAGTGACCTATTGCTATCCGTTTTCGTCCGTCGTCGTCCGTCGTCCGTTAACATTTTACATTTCAAACTTAAAGTCAAGTTCTGCTGGGCCGATTGAACTGAAAGTTGGTAGGAATGATCGCCTCATGGTCCTGACAAAGTGTTGTTATTTTTCGGGTCGATCAGAAATCCAATATGGCCGCCACGGCCGCCATTTTGAAAACCTATTTCAAACTTAAAGTCAAGTTCTGCTGGACCGATTGAACTGAAAGTTGGTAGGAATGATCGCCTCATGGTCCTGACAAAGTGTTGTTATTTTTCGGGTCGATCAGAAATCCAATATGGCCGCCACGGCCGCCATTTTGAAAACCTATTTCAAACTTAAAGTCAAGTTCTGCTGGACCGATTGAACTGAAAGTTGGTAGGAATGATCGCCTCATGGTCCTGACAAAGTGTTGTTATTTTTCGGGTCAATCAGAAATACAATTTGGCTGCCATAGCCGCTATTTTGCTACTAAGTTCTAATAGGCCGATCTCACTTAAAATTGGTCTAGGAATGATCAGCTCATGGTCCTGACAAAGTTAAGTTAACATTATACTATTTTTTACCCAAATTGGTACATGTTTCAACAACAAAAATAAATACTGTAGACTCAGGTGACCGTTAAGGCCCATGGGCCTCTTGTTTTTTATGAAGCCACTCTAAATCATTTTTCCACAAAGTATTGTTATAGCAGACATACCTATCGTTTTTTCTAACGTGTAACGCAGTCCGTTTAATGGAGCGCGGAGGTGGGTGATTCCGGGTCATGTGGACGGAATGCGGGAGATTTGTATGACCCGCGCGGGTCATAAGTTGGTCGCTGGTGTTAGGTTAATTTTGCGAGTCATTTAGCAGGTATGATTTACAGCTGAGTAGACTGGAACAAGCAGAGTAAAGTATCTTGCTCAAAGATACAACAAAGTGCCGTGCCGTGACCCGAACTCGCAACCCTTTCGGTCACAAGCTTGGTGTCCTACCACTAGACTCCCAGGCCTCCTAATACAACCTTTTCTCAAATCTGAAGGGTTCATGGCCTATATCAAGGCAACTCCTTGCTACGATAATTACCTAAATGATCCTTGACCCTTAATGATCCTCAAAATTCCAAGATTATTCTCACTCGACATGTTCTCTGCTCAACCGACACCCGGCTTCAAAGCTGGTCAATTTGACCTTATGCTGCCACATGATTCTTAAGTAACAAAGTGGTCTACCTACATCATCCACAGTATGATACATACAAAGCCTGTGATTTTGTTCTGGTATATTCCTCATTGTGCTGTTGTTAGATTTTCCATGCCTCATATCATTGACTGAACAGGAGCTATGTATGGATCTTATTTTGATTATCTTAAATCAATTCACGATTTCTTTGTCCATGATCATGACTATAAGACTCTTTCATGTTCAGGGGTGTAGGATAGGGAAATTCCATCCGAGGTATTTGTTTTGGTAAATTTGGTAAAACCCGAATGAATATCTCTATCCTTCACCCTTGGGCATGAAAGAGTATTTTTCTCTCAATACAACTACCAGAATAAGATCAAAACCATGAAAATGCGTTTGAACTGGCTACCATTTTGAAAATACCAATTTTCCCTGAGAGTTTTATTGACAAAAACGAATCTGTCAGCGAGATTTAGCATACCCCATATTTACACAGAAAAAATAATCTCATCTTTCTAACGTGTACAGTAAATATATTGTAAAAGGTTTTAATTTCATCACGTTGCCTTTTCCCCATTGCGGCATCAGTGTTTTCCAAATTTATGACGTCACACCATGTAAAATAGACTCAGCAGTCAGCAAGAATGGCTATCTTACATGGCCAGCGTTATCTTACATGACCGGATATGAGAGAAATTTCACTATTGATTATGATCTGTTGCATTGTAGATACTGGTTTTAGAAACTTGTTCACTGATGTATTATAAATGTCTCCGGTTTCAGATTTTCAGTGTTTTATAAGTCCACAAGGCTTTCCTGTTGCACTAGACAGAATCAACTTTGACTTGCCTGTATCTGCTGGTATTCAAAAGTAAGAAAACCTTATTGATTTCACACCCCAAATTTGTTTTAGTGTTAGTTTGTTTGAGCTATTTTGTAGATTTGCCTTGATATTCTATTTGATAATTTTTCCTTGTCTGAATGATAAAATGAGGTCACAGGACCTCTATTTGACCTTTGGGTTGACCTTCAGTTGATAAAGATACCATTAACTTGACCTATATCAGTAACCTGTCTAGTGATAGTAAGGTAAAGTGTATTACAACTTCCTGACGCATATCTTGGTTATTTTTCATGTATGGACTTCAGTATGAGGATACTTTATGGTAATAAAAATGAGTTCACTGCAGTCTCATTGACCTCAAGTTAATCCACGTCCATTGCCACATCTATGACACAAACTATTTCAGAAGATGTAGAGTTGTTCGTGAAGCTCACAAATATCAAACTTCAAAGTGGATCAGCCAATTTTAAGTCCAATTTGAATAAAATATCTTATTCTGTAACTTGCATTTTGAAAAAGCACAAACCATAAGTAAAACTTACCGCCAGCCACCTGCCTGCCCCCAGTTTGTAGAAGTTATAGGTATAAAAGCAGCCTATTCTTGTGTACCTTTTTGTCCAAGATTTTATCAAATGCTATAGAATTCTTGTAATAAGGTAATGTCACTACTGTAAAATTTTAAACTGCTATGTTCAAGGTCATATTTTCCAAATGACTGATTATTTCTGCTCCTTAACATTGCTTTTTAGCTCACCTGGCTATTTGAGCTTATGCCGTACTGCGGCGTTAGTCCGTCCGTCAACTTTTTCTTTTGAATGACTTCTTCTGAAGAACTGTAGGACCTAGGGTCATGATATTTGACCAGTAGGTACCTTGGATGCAGTACTATAAAGTTTCCTCATCAAAATTACCTTGACCTACTTTCAAGGTCACAGGGGTCAAATATGTTAAAAACTTCAAACAACAATATCCTAAGGACCATTTGAACTAGAGTCATGATATTTGGGTATGTTATGTAGACCAGCTGTGTGAATTGTTTTCTCAAAGGTCAACTTTAAGTGCAAGTCAATGTCGGTTAAAAGCTTTAAAATTAAAATTTCAAGTTTCAAACAACAATATCTTCAGAACCGTTTAAGAAATGTTAAAATGTCTTGTGTTCTAGTTACCAAATGTGGTCTTAAGTTACCTTTATGTCAGTTTCATGTAATAAAAGAAACAGTGATACAGGCCATTTGGGCCTCTTGCTCTAACCACATCTTTATCAGACTTCATGATGCTGTAGTGTATTAGACATCATTCCCCCAAAAGTCAAGGTTATCCAAAACCTATTGTTGATAGTCTCCACATCCTTACTTTACTATATATTCAGGAATCTTCATGAAATCGGACAATTTGGTTAGAGATAAATACCCAAGCCTGCTCAGGGTTGTTTAAATTCCTTTACAGGTATATAAGGTTTATAATTGGCTAATAGTTTCCACTCCATAACTTTGCTTATTTCTTTCTAATAATAAATTTCACCAAACTTACCCTTCAGGCTGATAGGTTCTGTTCTATAACAGTACTGTACTTTTAATCTGTAAAAATAAGACACAGCTACCTATAGTTTCTCTGGTCAGATCCCAGTCACTAAAGGATAAATGGTCCAATCTGACCGGCTAATGATTATGATTTCTGCTCTATAGGTTAACTTTATATCGAGTAGCAAGTGATAGGTGTTGCCTATCATATCACTTGAGGGTGAGGTTAAAGTGATCTCTATATATAGGTATTGCCATCCTTTGTTTAGGCCACATGTTTTTGAAAATGATCGTTACAATGGTGTAATTTCAGGATCACCTGAAGGCTTGCATGATAGAGTGAATTCAATGAATAGCCTCAGGGTTATTGCAGTTGATAGGCCTAGTTAGTTGGATATGTCATAAATTCTTCAATTATTAAAGACCTGACTAACAGCGTCGACTGTATCTTACGTCTCATAGCACTTCCGAATCAAATGTCATATACTGTATATTATGAAGTGGTAGTGGGCACTTTGCTTCATGGTTTGAAGCTATTTAAATCATTTCGTGGTAAAAACTTTCATGGATATCCCATAAAAACACAATAGTCTGTACATCAATTGAATTTGTTTTATTTAATTTCATGGTTTCATAGCAACCAAGGAAACCCCAAAAGTTTATATACAGCAAACATTTTATGTTATCAGTGTGTATGTTTGTAGTCTGTACAAATGTTTATTTACAGCAAACATTTTATGTTATGCAGTGTGTATATTTGTAGTCTGTACAAATGTTTATATCTGGTAGTCTTGACCTCAATCTTACTGATCCATCCTTCCTTCATTTTAGGATTGCTATAGACGTGATCCCTTCTAGCCTATGGGGCAATGAACTAGATGTCATGTACCAAGAAAAGAAAAGGCATTTGAAAAAGGAAGACTACAAATATATACAGGTTGAATTACGTTCATTTCTCTGGGGTCACATACTGTATACCTGGCAACTTTCGCCGCGTACACAGTTAATAAGTTCACTGAATTATTAGCTCCTCTAGTTCATAGAGGTTTCAAAATTGTATGAATGAAAGGGTCGACCAGGAGGGTACTTAATAAACTTTATTTTAATACGATTTTGAAACAAGTTATCTCAACTTATATTAATCATTCTTGTTGGCCCGGAAGTTCATGTCCCTTTTATTGGGGAATCATACCCCGCCCACCTTGGTGAAAGGCTGCAATGTCCTTTTCATTGGGGAATCATACCCCGCCCACCTTGGTGAAAGGCTGCGCTATCTACTGCGCCACACGGCCACCCTAGTGATGGACTGGTACACTGAGTCGACTGAAAAATAGGAATGTCTACTCATAGTTGAAAGCAGCAAGGCCAGGGAAACCTCGACTTAAGGATAATAATTAACACCACGCCAACTCTGGACTCCCTATGAAATTCTCCCCAAGTACTTATAGTTAACAAAATTCACCATTCATGAGTAGGTACCACCCACTGTACATAAGTAATGAGGCACATGCAGCAATTCAATCTAACTTCTAATCTAAATCCTATGCTTACTTTCCCCTTCTGAAACAACAATACAAGATGTACCCTATGGCAATGACAGTTACCCTGTCTGGTTTGGGGAGTTCACACTCTCGTTCCTATCTCCATGTCATCCATGACGGACCTGGTCATCACTAGATGGATAGCTCTATCTACAATGCAACAGTCCCCGTATATCAATTCACAGTGTTACCAAATGTACTTCTGACCAAAGCCCTGCTCTCTATTTATACCCACTATCTTACATGTTATAAGATGGTTCCATTCTTTCTAATTAATTACCTAATGTTCAGCCCATTTTGTTACAAAGGTCACGGGGGCCAAATATGTAAAAAATAAATTAAAAACTTAAACACCTTTTCCTGAAGAATAGAAAGACATAGAAAGACATAGAAACATGACATTTGGCAAGTAACATGCTTGCTTGGAATAGAAGAATAGAAATACATAGAAACATGATATTTGGCAAGTAACATGCTTGCTTGGAATACTACAAAGTTTGTGGAAAAAATAACCTGGACCTATATTCAAGGTCATAAGGGTCAAGTTTGCTCAAGAAACTTTAGCAACTTCTTCTAAAAAGAGAAAGGCCTAGAGTCATGATATTTGGCCAGTAACTTGCAGGCATTGAGTGCTATAAAGTTTGAGAAAGAAATGACATGGACTTGGGTCTGATTTGTCAAAATCCTCAAATTACTTCCTCTAAGGAACCAAAAGCCTTCGGATAATAATTTGCTAGTGCATCTAGCTTGTTGGCATGAAGTGCTAGAAAGTTTGAAAAGGAAGGCAACATTGATCTGGTTGGCATCTTCTAGCACCTTGGGCCTCTTGTTTAGGTCAAGTAAAAGATCACATTTTGGAAGGTCTACTATATATAAAATTCTGGCATGCATATTTATGTAAACTATTGAGAATACTCAATTCTGATTAATTTGTTTTCCCTACAATGACTGCTCTAAAAATGGTAGGTATGTAATGGGATGTCTCTGATCTTGATTGCCAATGTCATAGGTGCATATTAATGTCTAACTAATGAGGCTTTTTTAGGTCACCTGAGTTTTGCTTTCTATATAGGGAAGATCATCAGGGGCTTTACTTGAATTGTAAATTTCAGGACCCCCGAGCTATCCGTTCTCCCTTGGGGAGGGGGTAAAGTTTACTATAGTTTATATAGGGAAATAACGCTTTTGGGTATATTTTGGGCCAGGGCGGAGCCCCAAAGGGAAAATTAACCAATATTTCAAAAATCTTCTTCTCCAGACTCAGAGGTAGTACAGTCATTTTCTCTACATGGAAAGAAAGATCATCAGGGGCTTTACTTAAATTGTAAATTTCAGGACCTCCGAGCTATCCGTTCTCCCTTGGGGAGGGGGTAAAGTTTACTATAGTTTATATAGGGAAAATACACTTTTGGGTATATTTCGACAACTTTCTGTAGGAAATTATTTTTACTTGATGAGATTTATCTTTGGAGGAAGATGGTTTCAAATTGTAAAATTGAGATCCCTACCCCAACCCCTGGGGCCAGGGCAGGGCCCCAAAGGGAAAATTAACCAATATTTCAAAAATCTTCTTCTCCAGACTCAGAGGTACTACAGCCATTTTCTCTACAGGAAAAGAAAGATCATCAGGGGCTTTACTTAAATTGTAAATTTCAATATTTTCAAATTCTTATCCTTTGATGACATGACAAGTATTGTATTTCACTTAGTTCACATGCTGATTGCCACATCACATCTAAACAATAAAATAAAGCTACCAGTACCTATGATATAACTCAGGTGACCGCTAAGGCCCTTGGGCCTCTTGTAATTCTTATTTAATGGGATTGAAAAACTGTCGAAAATAATAAACAATATAAACATAATTCTTAAATGTGAAGAGAAAAATAAACTTTCCTGTGTATTGACAATAATTACAGTTCTTACCTTGCAGTACTTCCAGTCTATTTATTGATATTTTATTCTGTTATGGCTGTTGCAGGTGAAAAAGGACCACATGTGTGGACTGGCTTTGTCAGGAACGGAGCAACTCCGCGAATACTACACTGAACAAATCTTCGGTTAAGTAGGAATTGTCTGGAAGAACAATTATTCAAGATTTATTTTTTGTCTGTGATGAAAATCATGATTGATGATGGAATGTTGATAGAATCAAGGAAATAGCCATTACTGACCAAAAACTCCACTTCTTTGTAAAATTTGACAAGAAATCCAATGGTATATTTTTTTTACATTTGTTTGAAATTATTATAAATCAGGAGCCTTCTGCAGTGTAGGGTTGGGGAAAATTCTAAACAAATAATCTGCCCAAAGACCAAGTGAGGTTGTGCTCTGGTATGGCCTTCCTCTTTTATTCATTGTCGATCTGTCAGTTTTTCTTTTTAAACACTACCAGTCCAGAGCGACAAAAATTACTCTTTAACAAGTTTTTGTATGAAGCAACCCAGAGTCAACGTACATAGGTTGTGATCACATAGGTGGAGAGGTTTCATGGGCTCAATGAGGAAAATACTGTTAAATTATCTGGAGCTGCCATCCAAGTATGCCTAGAAAGATTTAAACTGAATCTGGTACGAAACATTCCTAAGTTCATGGGATTACATTTTGTATAAATGATGGATAGCAAACTTTGAAAAATGCTATTTTTATAATTATACAGCTAACGATATAAAACATCATCACATCAGTAGTTGTGTGCCAATTGACCTTTATCTTATTGTGAAAACTTTTTTTAATTGATTAATTTAAGTCAAAATTAAATTCAACTGTGATTAGTATCGTAAAATCTGCTGAATGACTTATATTTATTTGTAAATATCTGTGTCATAGATATAAATAATTGCAAAACTCTCTGATTGTTTTGCATAGTTTTGAGGTGTTGTTACATAGAGGATTTGAATACATACATGGTACATTTTTTAATCATTAGTGAATTACATTATGCAGTGACCCCATAAAAAATCTCTCCTTAAACTCCAACCTCCTTACTTCAAAATACAGGTCTGCCTACCTTGTGCTTTAAAGTCATCACATGTATGGCATTGATGTTACAGTGGAGATTTTTGTGGTGTATAAATGCTCATGTAGATTATAGATAATAGATATATAGAATTCATTACCATTGTCGTTGTGAACATTTCGACATCACAAAGAGTTTAAAGTGACAATGTGAGCATATGCACACTCAGAAGTTTCCACTTTACAGTAGCTATCTGTTCAGATTAAAACTGTTTGATCAAACATAAAATAGTTCAGATTAACCCTTTCACCACTGTAGACCAGTATGGACTCGTCCAGATCAATGCATGGTAGAGTCTATTAAAGTTACATAGGGCTGAAAGGGTTCAGTATACTTAGTGGAGTATGTCCTACTTCAGAGTCAGATTTCTTAATCCAGCACTGATTCAGATTATATGATCTGATAGCTGTATCTTGTTTAAATTCAGAATACATTAATTTTGTCGAGTAGCCATTAATTGAGATTGAGAATATTTGATTGTGGGTGAAATATTGATATTGATATTGTTCATTTTTGTACAGTCTTATTGCCCATCAACAATTCAGTCATAATGCCCAATATTCATTTACTGAAAATATTAATCCATGAAGATGTGTAATCAAAGGGCAGTATTTCAGATCAAATCATGATCATCAATCAAGCCACGATTAGTTGAAATCGGGATATGGTGAAGTTGAGTTAAGTCAGATGTGATGGATACGCCCATGTTATCCTAGCCTGGTTCTAGGTTTGATTGGTTTGTATTTGTGAGGTCGTTAAAGTGTGAGTAACATGAAATACCGTTGAGATGGTTTTTTAATGTGATTGGTATGACATCATAATGACAGATACAAAAGACCAGGATCTATTGCAAAAAAGGAAAATTTTGTGATGTGGAAATGCTTCTATTTTTCAGGTTGAGTAAATTCATGTGAAAATATCCATAAGCGATTATTATTTATAGATTACAAAGATTAAAGATGTATAGGATATACAGATTTCAGCACCCTGGACAACACAAAAATGTCCACACCAGAGACAACATCAAACATTTCCACATGCGAAATATTCCATTTTTGCAGGACTGGAGGGGTTTTTCAATAAAGCAATATCCCGAGAAAAATCGTAATGTGTTAGAATATTAAAGGATCTTGAAATTATTTCATAAACCATTTTTCAAACTGTGACAACATTTTTCAATTCACATTATATGTATATTTTCCTTTAAGAATAAGAAAACAACCTTCCAGGGTTTCAATAGGCAATGGTATTGTATACCAGTGCAGTTTCTTATTCTCAAATTGGCTGGATTATTTTTGGGGTTGTATGGTACATACCGAAAAAACTGCGTCCACTTTGCATAAATCCTTGTTATTTAACTATATGCTGTACGACCCCAAAAATAATCCTGCCAATTTGAGAACAAGAAACTTATAATTGAATTTGAAGTTACAGACAACATTTATTAGATAAACAGCGTTACTTTACACGGGGAACTGTTTATTTTCACATTATTTAATTTGCTACATATCTGAAACTAATGGTGATATAAGCCACTTATAAGCCCTGTTTTAATTTACCTCATATAAAAATTGTCATATATGAGGTTTATGTACATGTACATTTAAACAAAATGTAAATATATCTCAATAAAACAATACATTGTTTATTGTGTGAACAAGTGTTACTGTCTTGTCATACTTGTACTTACATGTTAGGTGAGACTTTATAAATGGGTTATGAAGTACTTGTTCATTATTAACATTATGCACAACAACTGAAACCACAGGGACCTGAGAATTTGTTACAGCTATAATTGGACCTAAACTAAGGTATTCAGAGTAATTTTACATGTTTTAGGGGTTTAGATTGACTTTTGTTAAAAATATGAACATTGGGGTGTCATTTTTGTGTCGCCTATGACGGATGTCGAAAGACACATAGGCGCTGCTTTTCCGATGGCGACGGCGGCGTCAACAATGTTAAGGTTTTGCGTTTAGCTCTGTTTCTGACAAAGCTACACCAACAAAACCTCGATCATAGATGTAGCATCGGTAGTGGAGCCTACTGCACTAAAAACATTTCATTGATTTCTGCATGTTTTTGGTAAAAACCAAAAAAAATCTGGACTTAGAAAAAACACAACGTTAAGGTTTTGTGTTTAAGAAAAAAAATCAACGTTAAGGTTTTGCATTTAGCTCTTACATATTAAGCTGTTTCTGACAAAGTATAAATGCTAGAGCAACCAAACTTGGGTCATACATGTATCATGGGTAGTAGAGCCTACTACTCTGAAAACATTTCATGGATTTCTGCACTTTTTCGGATAAAAACCTGAAATTTCTGGACTTTAAAAAAAGTCAATGTTATGATTTTGCGTTTAGGTCCGTTTCATGATGTACTAGGTCGAATGCTTATTATATTGACAAAGCGGGACATGCGACACACATAATTACGCGTAACTCTTGTTAACAAAAGTCGATCTAAACTCCTAAAACAGGTAAAATTACTCTGAACACCTTAGTTTAGGTCCAAATATAGCTGTAACAAGTTCTCGGGTCCCTGTGACTGAAACTAGAACTGTCGCCTATGGGCTAACTAATACCCTCCAGACTGGCTGCTTGTTGTCCATATTGGAGCTAACTAAACAAGGGGAAAATATATAGAAAGGTCAAGGGTCATGAAAAAGTATTGAACCTGGGATGTGGTACCTACAGACTGATGGAAAAGACAAACACCACTACTGTGACCTTTGACTCAATGACCTCGGAATTTGGTCACAATGTAGCTTGCATCAATGATACATATATACTGCAGAAACAGTAGGGAAGTTAGAAAGGAAAAGACGATCGGGAACCATCGGTACATTCCCGAATGAGGAAAAGTTTGCCTTGTTGCGATCGGGGTTACATTATTTTCATCTTCTGGTGGTTTTGTGATACCCTCTGCAGATAAAGTTCAATGTTGAAAAATGTTGGATGCGTATAATGCTGGCTAAAAATATCTGAAAAAAAATACATTGGGGTTTTAAGAGTCTTTGGAAGAGCTAAGGTCATATTGAAAAATATCCTAACCTAACATGCCAAAATCAACAAAACTGCATTAGACATCCTCCGAAAGAGGGAAAAAATCTCTTTTTTTGCCAAAAAAAAAATGGAAGTTGCGGTAACTTTGGATTTTTTGTTCTTGGATTAAAGTAAAGGGACTGAAAACGCGAAAGATGCATATCGACTTAATTTCACCTGATCTCAAGAAATATGGTGTTTTGTCTCCAGAAGAGGCTGAGAACGCTAAAGATGCATGTTGCGTCTTTCCTGTACCAAAAAATTCAAATATCAAAATGATTCAACTGAGATATAGCTCAGAATTTCGTGCACTAAATATCTTCTTTATTCCCAGAAGTAAGGATTTATCATCCAAATCAAGGAAACGGTCGGTGTTGACGTTCATTGTGTATAGCCAAAATGGATATTTGACGTCCCTAACGCGTATTATCAGACGTTTTAGCTAACTATACGCACCAAATATTTTCTGTAAGATTATACTACGTACCTCGTCGTGGTTATACAGAACTGTATGAAGAAGACTGATATAAGCATAAGCAATATCTGTTGTCTTGTTCTTTTTGTACATGTTTTATCTTAGAAATATCTTTTGAACTCACCAAAAAGTGATATGGCTCTTCAAGCCAGATGAGCGAAAACGCGGCGGAGTTTTATCCTATGTGTTTATAAGTCTGATATAACAATGGTTCAACGAGAAATAACGTGAATGGTGGTGTTAACAACTAGATCGTTACGAGATATGTTTTGCACAATGTATAAAAGTTTTTTCTTCTGCACTTCTACCATCCCACTCGAAGGCAGACCGACAAGAAAGTAACTACACGACCCCCAATGAGTATCAGCTAAGTATATTTTGGTGCCAGACTGCGTTGAAGTTTGGCATTTTTTTTCATAATTCAAAAAATTCTAAATGGCGACTACCTACACATGTATAGCTATGTGAACACGTCTAAATCTGTAGACTTGTGATATGTTACGTTTAATTGATGGTTCCAATTTGTGAACAATTTGGACGAGAACGTATTTTCTAAATGAAAAACGAAAATCCACAAATTGGTAGCAAATCCAAAGCATGAAATACAGGCCACAATACATACAGTATGCATTGTAGAAAATCATGTATCGCAACTGAACCAGTAAATGTTTATGTGTGACGTTTTGATGGTACGTACCCTGTCACCTTTATCAGACAAATGACCGGTGAATCGTATGTACGCAAAAGGTGTAAAATATGTTGAGTTGGCATCGATTCGGTTACGCTATAAATCAGCCTATGTACACTTAGTTGTTATGAATGTAAGAAATGACGAAATAAACCAACAATTCGATTCGGATACGCTTTGTTTAACACCTGGTCATATATATATATATGCGAGAGTATATGAGCCCCCTCGTCTCGGTTCAGAACTGGCCAACTGCGGTGTATCCAGATGGCTTCCTTGGATTTTACCCACGTCAATTACACGATTTTGCTGTATGGCATGGTCTGTGATTGCTGAGTTATTGATCCAGGACATCTGTGACCAGGGGTTAAACAAAGCGTATCTGAATCGAACTTTCGGTTTGATTCGTCATTTCGTACATACATAACAACTGAGTGAACATACGATTATAGCGTTTCCGAATCGACGTCGATTACATATCGCCAAAATGACAAACATCGTGACAATCATGTAGCATCGCAATTCCGGAACTCATCATTTCATTTCAGATTTTTAGTTTAATCCTGACGAACAATGAGGTGTAACATTTTCTACAAGCAAATATAGAAGCGCTCCACTCAATGGACCAATCGTATAGATCAAATCTCTGACACAACACACCATAGCCACATAGACAAAATCTCGGGGATTTCCCCACAGATGAAGAACCAGAAAAAGAGCAAAACCTTAGCTAAACAAATAGCGGAACTAAATAATGGTATCAGGCCACTAATTAAGAAAAAACCCAACTGTCAACACTCTTAAATAATAACTTTGACACGAGCTAGAGGTGGTTAATCCAAGAAAAGCACCCATATCAACCCTTAAATTGTACGAATATGACACTTATCCCGGAAATCTGAATCCAGAGACGTATAAAACCATGTAGTATATACAAATGCTCTAAACACGAATACAAAACACAAAACAAAACCAAAACTGTAAACTACAACTGTGATTGGAGAAAGTCTGTTCGACAAGAAACTTTGCAAATTATCAAGAAAGTTTGCCAGAAAGAAAAAATCCAAAAACATCTAACACCATCAACATGAATGAAACATCACAAGAATAACAAAGGCATGGAATAAGAGGAAATTCAATGGAAGTATTTTCACAACATTTCTTAATTAGATCCGCAAAATCGTTTTTGCTCTCCTAATTGTAAGAACATAGAGCAATCTTCCTCGTCTCGGTTCAGAACTGGCCCACTGCGGTGTATCCAGATGGCTTCCTTGGATTTGTCTGGGATTGCCGAGTTATTGAAACAAAGCGTAGTCGAATCTAACTTTCGGTTTGATTCGTCATTTCGTACATCTTATAGCGTATCCGAATCGACGTCAATAACATATCGCATGACGATAAATGGCCAAAGGGTGTATGGATGAACATATAATGAGAAAAAAGGACAGAAAAAGCATAGTCTATTGATGAACGAGAAATATTCCAAACCCAATTCTGACCTAGGAAATGGACAGAGAAAATAAAATTGAACACAGACACACAAGGCCCCAATAAATTCCATACACAAACTTTATAAGATACGAATTTCTAAGCCACTGTCTATAATCCTTACAAAATCCATAAACAAGGGATGTCTACCGTCAGCAAGAACACCAACATACCCTATCTCCGGCATACATGCACACTTACACAAAACACATGGAGGCACGTCCTTAAATGACCTTAGCTGTTAATAGGACGTTAAACAAAATAAAACCAAACCAAACCAAACCTACCTGGCAGGAATGCTTACATTAGACATGTCTTCGAAAAGGGCAGCAAACAATTCAACAAGTAGAATACTATTGACCAATCAACCAATCTCACCAGCACAGCGTTCAAAAGCATGGAGTCAATTTTGAGGAACCATATTGTGAAATATTTGGCAGAAAAGAGGATTCATATTAACCGTCACTACGAGTACAGCTATTAGACATACACCACTAAGTTCTTTTTCCAATAATCTGCATAGACACGAAGGAGAAACAGCAAATGTCATATATACCTAGATTTCCACAGGTGACTTGCAGTACCCACTAAAGTGCCCTTCCTGTAATACACGGAATTAGATTAGTTATCCAAGTCCGTGGTAATACTGACTGATTGCAGTCTCAATCAGTCATTATGACAGGAATGTCACTTTAGTGGGCACAGCAAGTCATTTACAATAGAAACAGTGTGTTATAAAAAAAAAGGTTCAAACAGTGGAGGCACCCAAGGTGGCGTCCTAGAACTGAACTTTTTTTGGTTATAGATATGTAAACGAAATGTCAAAGTCGCTTCTAGCTAGAGGGAATCACAATTGGCGAGAGCAAAAGAGCAAATACTTTGAAAATGGAGGAGAAGTGTAAAGGATCTGCATTAATATTGTAACGTTACAGACTTTTCAACGTTGCCTTACAAGCTTCAGCTAGCCACTAAAAGGGAAAATATATAACTAATAAATAATTGGAGAAATAAGATATTTCGGACTATCTAGCACAAGTGACTGTAGAAAGTACCAGATCCGGATAAGGGGGTGAAGAAGCAGTCAAGCTAAAAAGACCGATAAGAGGTAAAACGGCTATAACAACAGGTGCAACGTTCAACTTACGAAGCCTGCACGTGTAATACTATACGTTTACGTTACTGTATGTAGTTATAATAGGTCTTATACGCTCATTTCGTTTTGAAACTAAAACCAACGTTACTTTGCATAAATTGTTTTTAAACCACCAAAATAAAAACTATGCATCTGTATCACGGAATTAGATTGAATGCCAGAACGATCTCAAACGAATGGCAGGTCAAGATTTTACAGCATGCCTTTTAAAGGGTAGAACTCTTTAAATTGAAGGTAGAAAAATATTCCGCCATATTCAAAAATCTAAACTTGTTTCGGCATGCACAATAAATTTGTATCAATGGATATTTTGGCAAATTGGATTACAGAAGATATGGGAAGCATCTAGTTGCTCTCTATTCAGCCGCCATGAACTGAAGAGGGGATTATTTGGTTCTATTATATAAGGTAACACTATGCAGACGAGAATTTCGCGAAACATTGTTTACAAAATAAAGAAAAAATCATCCCGCGATAATGTCAACATGAAATGGTCCATTTCGAAAAGAAAAATGACGAATTTAACTGTTACCTCATAGACGGTCTATTTAAACGTGTATTTTCTATTAGACCGATTCGATTTCTAACACATGATTTTAATTTCTATTTTATTTGCTATGCCTATCGGGTCCAGTACACTCGGCGGGGGCCGTTTGAGCTATATAGCTATAAAGAGCTATATCCACCTATAAAGTATAGCTGTATTGAGCTATATTTTCTCAGATTTCAATTTTCATTAAATTAAAGCAAAGTCGCATAAATAAAAAGGTTATGGTAATGTTGACTAAAAAAAGCATACAGCTACATGTTTATTTTAATTTTTCATATTAAAGGGGCTGGTCGGGGAAAAAATTACAAAATAAATGGGTCGAAATGCGTTCTCTAGCCTTCCAAAAGTTATACCACGGCAATATGATGGTCGAGTTCTGCTTGCAATGTCCAGTTTTGACCACTGAAATCTCGGGGACCCCCGCGTAAATTTAGCGCAGATCTATTTATACATGTCACATGGTTGTTTCGAAAGTGAGGCAGTGAAGATAACAACAATAGCACGCCGTCATGTGCCATGTCGGACTGAACTAGCGGACAAGACAGCAATACTATACGTAAATAATTGTTTACAAAGGTCATGTATGATGCAAGTGTAGTATTCCTACCTATATGTTGTTATATATAACGGTATTGATGCCTCGTGCCTGTCATGACTTTTGCATGCATCTTTTTCTTTCGCCGCGATGATTACATTTGGCCTTGTTGATGACGCGCGTGCGGTAAAATTGATCTGGGTCAATTGAGAGTTTTAGACTGTCAGGTGACAATTTAGGATTTCTTTAATATCTTATAATTAGGGAGTGAATTTCAGCAAAATTTGAATCGGTATACGTATATTTCATAAGAAGGTATTTTAAACATGTGTATGCCATTTTAGCAAATATGACATTTTTTCCCCGACCAGCCCCTTTAAAATGTAAAATTTTCGATTTTTTTACATCATTATTTTTCTAAAATAGAATACTTATATTTAATGTCTTTTGTTATCAACCTCATGATACAATCTTCTTTTAAAAGCGCCTTTGTTTCGTTTTCCTTAAAAAAGAAAATCACTTGAAATAGGCAGGTTGGGGAAAACCACAACTTGCATATAATACGCAAACTCGCCTATTATACGCCAGTTGGAGGATGGATTTGTTACTAAAAATAAGACAAAACGCTTTAACAGTAACTTTTGCAAGATATTATTAAGAATCGCTTTAATTTACGACAAGGTAAATAATATTTTGCTAAAAGATGTTTACTGAAAGCATTGGCTACTTAGAAACTTGATGTAACTTTACCGGAAGTATTGTATCTATTTTTGGTACTTTCCCACATGCAAATAAAGTTTATTTTTGCATTTGTATTATGTTTCATGACTGAATAAATGCGACTTGGACAAACAATTTGAAAAAGTTAAGATTAAAGTGGTTTTGGCTATTTTTAGTAACAAATCCATACCCCTATTGACCTATAATAGACGAGTTTGCGTATTATACGCAAGTTAGTGGTTTTCCCCTACCTGATAGGTCAATAGAGCTTTTATAGGTCTTTACAGCTATATAGCTCAATCGGCAGAGTGTACTGGACCTAGGCCTATTGCACAATGAAGCTTTGAACTTGTCAAGTTAACCTGGTTTAACAGGTTGCTAATTTGCATACAATCGGGTATACATGCAGTCTATATACATGTTAGAGATGATTAATGTTAGTAAAGTTATAGTTACATTGTCTACAGATCTTTACTTGAGGACCCAACATCTGGACACTAAGTGTAGCTTTAGACGCTCAGAAGGAAAGATATTGACCCCCTTCTTCACTAGTTTATTGAAATAACATAATACCATTACCCTTTACTTTTGGCTCAATTGGAGTATATATATAGAAGTAGCTATATATATAGTTCCGTTGAAAAAAGGTACTCTTACACAGTCTAATATCAACTATAAAGTTACAAACTTCAGAAGTTTTTGTAAAACCGGTTTCAATTTGGGTAAAACAACTGGTACATGAATATGTTTACAAAATGTATATGTATGAACATAAACACGATAAGTTAAGCATGTTATATTTATAAATGACAAATAAGTTTACAATTTGTGCTTTATTATCTTTCATTTAATTTTTCTGCCCTTTTTTTTTCAAATTAAAGGTAGGAAGTGAAAAAATGGCAGACAACACAACAAAACAGGCCCAGCAGAAGTTTACAAATCTACGTAAACGTCTGGACCAACTTGGGTACCGACAAACGCTAGGATTAGAATCTCTGCCATTGGCGGAAAAGCTTTTTTCAGACCTGGTCCACACAACGGAGAGTCTGAAACATGCCAAACTTGAACTTGGAAAACAGGACACTGAACACAAGGACTTTGACACAGCAGTCGAACCATACAAAAGTGACAATGCCAAACTGGTTAAGGAAAATAATGACCTACATCAACAGTTAATCAAACATAAGGAAGACTCAGATGCAGTTATTAGAGGTATGAGGGCGAAGAACTAACAGAAATATTAGACTGTCACTTTGATTTGTCACAGTTATTACTTTCAGGTGATAGCCTTAGGTAACTGCAAATTTCCGTTTGCTCCCAGTGCTCCCAAGCTTTATTTCTGTACCAAATTTGATTCGGTATGAAAAGTATATGTGATACACAACATTGCTGTGTATGATGATTTAGAAACTCATGCACTACTATATATAGCTAGTGTTTGATAATAGTTTGTAGCTCCAGTAATTAAAATACTAGGTCTAGTGGTAGGATGAGGTATCAGAAATTATGCCAGGGAAGCTGTTACTCTGCTTATTGTATGTGCTCATCTATTCACATACATTTTAGCATAACAGGGATAAATATATCTGTTGTACTGAATTTGAAAAAAAAATCACCAAATTGAAGGAAAAGAGGACATTTTTAACTGATTACACTTCAAAATGCCTGTTGATCTTGAAAGGCCCTATTTTTTCAGTTAATACATTTCCAGCTGATGTTAATGGTGGGAATTTTAAAGAGATTTTATTTGTTTTCATTTGTAGAACTGAAGGCCTCGCTACGCAAACTAGAGCATGAGAATGCTGACCTCAAGTTTCTCAGTAACCAGTACGTTCACAAGGTCCGTCAGCTAGAGAAGGAGTCAAAGGCCAAGTCTGAGCGTATCCTCCACCTACAGGAGAAAAACTTCCATGCTGTTGTACAAACACCAGGTAACAGTCATCTGTCGGAAAATTAGATATATATGCTGGAGAGAAATTCTCCATTTTTAGAATTATTTGAGTTCATGATCTAGATTTTAATTTCTTTTGTGTAATTTCTTTTGCCCTATATATATATTTACTGTTCAGTATTATTTTATATTGGATCACATTATGACCCTGGCCTGTTATGTACTGTAGTGAATACACAAACTGTCATAACTTTGTGTAACCTTGTGTAATATGTATCACTAACTGTGTCAATGTCAGAATTGAGACACTAGACGGTCGGTCAGACATGAGGTCATAACATAAATTGTGATGTCTCAAATAAGCCAATAGACAAGACATCAAGATGGCATTGTTGAGGATGCAATGATGGTTGGAGACAACATTGTTTGCCCGATATTTGCATAAATTTTTGGAAATTCAACAAAAATGATGTTGAATATATATAAGAATTTGGATTACATTCTTCAGATTTGTTTTGGCTCAATTTTGCAAAAGCTACTGCACAAAAATGAATTGATATTTGTAAAGCATTTTTTTCATGATTGACCTCCAATACTTTTATCAAATTATTTTGTTTTTGTGGTACATATACGAGCATTTTGTCATTGTCTTGAAAATTATCTCTATTTTTGTTTTAATTCTGTTTAATATTTGCAATCAAGCTCTGATGCATGTTTTCGGAAGCTGTTTAGCCCCGCTCCTATTTGCCCCTAAGCTACTTGCCTGTTACAGTGTTAGTTCCTTAAAGCTATCTGTTCACCCACCTGCAGTGCCTGTTCACCACACGCTCTAGTGGCTGTGCCTTTTTACTCCATCTATCTGTTAAATTGAATCACAAAGAAAGTTTTTTTTTATTCTGTATGCTATTATTTAATTGATTCAAATAGGTCAAAAGAAGCTAAGGGAGATAACTCTACTTCATTTAGAAGTGATTTCAGAAGAGGCTTTATCATTTTGTCTTGCGTTTGATTATACTGGAGGTATTCAGGGTTAACATATGTTTTGTTCAGTCTGATCCAACAACTGTTTGTTTACAGCCATGTCTCCCATTGGAATGAGGGTAGGTCTAGACTCATTGATGCTGTATTTTTTAAAGCACTAAATATATTTTGAAAATTGAAGAGAAGCTGCATCATCATCAGATGTGCATTGCACTGCAATTAGGTTGCCATGACCTTCACCTCTAGATTAAACGTCAAATCAGTGCAAAATCTTGTTGAGGCTGTATATGTCACTATGAAATTTTACTGCACCTGCATCAACTACAGAAAGTGTACAGGGTGATATGAGACCACCATCACCTTTATTTCTAGATCAATTTACAAGTTAACAGGTTAGAAGGGGCCAACAGGTTGTAACTAGCAGAAATCTGAGTTAAATTTAATACATTCCAATGTACATTGTACTTGTATATGGCTAATTGATATTGATATGACTTCAATTATTTGTTATTTGAATATATGTGTTATACAACTGTGTAATGCTGGCTGTCACTGTACTTTTTGTGCTGTAGGAGGTAAAAAGAAGAACATTCCCTTTAGGAGACAGCGTATGGAGATTGACACAGCTGTTCCCGAGTTTGATGGCCCCAGTAGGCCACTCACATTGCCCACTGATGATCCCTATGTAGCCGATCTTCTCCAGGTGGCAGATACACGGATATTAGAACTTGAGCGACAACTCTCCATCTTCAGAGACGAAAAGGAGGTGATTGACAGGAAACTGAAGAACTTCAGACAGCAGGTAAGGTCATAGAAACATTCTCCCAATATTTACAGGGGAGACATACAATGGCATTATTTTCTGTAATGATGCTCAAACTTTTACATGAATCTACTTTTAGTCAAGGCCTTAACAATATTGTTAGAGGTTACCATTTCCATATCCTACACTGTTTAAGCCTGAGACTCCCATGCCACTGTTTCATTCATTGTTCGATGATTGAGGTGTGATTTTTCTGAAAATTGTTGAACCTGAAGTTAAACAGATGTGGTGCATGCTGGGTGGATGTGGGTTGGTCCGGGATATGGCCTAGGCACAGCTAACTGTGTCACTCATGTATTACGACCAAAATCATGGACAAGTATAATAATGTTTCTATCCCATTCCAAAAATAAATAAATAAGATAAGCAGATAGGGATATACCTGGTATCTTAAAATTATATATAAGTTACACAGAACAAGAATCTTTAATAGTGCTCATCTAAATTTGCTCAAAAACTTCTAAGTAGGTTGTCAAAAAATAGGGTTGGTAGGTGTAGCTAGGGAACTAGAAACACTATAATTTAGATGGGAATTTACATTTCAGGGGAGGTAACTCTTCTAGTATATTTCCAAATGCTATGCATTTTTCTGCTTCCATACTAATTAATTCAATTAAATATTATTTGTTGATTTGATGACAGATGTATGCAAACCGTAACATTATCATGAAATATTGTCCGCTTTATTATGATGGTAATGGAACATGTTACATTTCCTTTGTACAGTTTGTAAATAAATTCGCTGATTTAAAATGTTTTTGTGAAGTCGTAACAAACAGAAATATTACACATGACTGTTTTTGTTTTGGATACTGTTTTGGTTATTTTAATCATACTGCAAGTGTGATCTTTGACTGATCATGTGATATCAAATTAAAACTTATATTGAAATTCCTGAATGGCTTCCAATTGATGATTGGTACTTGACAGAAATGGTAACCCGTTGAAAATAAGAGTTTGTTCCACTATTTGGTAATATTATTTGTTTAAATTACATAATGTACCAAACCAGTCAAAAAGATGAATTAGAATTTCCTTTTTAACTTTTAAAATAATATGTAGAATAGTAAGATTCAAGCATATCTCTCTGATGCATCATAGTAATGAGAGGTGTCACAATACAGGTTTGTTCTACCCAATATACTGCATCCTTGCCAACTTTTTGAAATTTCCATAGGGGAGATTCCGCGTGCTTAGAATTATAAGCTTTAATTTAATGTATGCATGTACAAGCTAGGGGGAAAATAACACTTTCAAATGGTGTCTTTTAAGCTGTTCTTTCAAATGAAATCATCAGATCTTAAAAAATAGGAATAGTTGAAGAAATTCACAGGTAGAAAATGCTCAATTTAAGGGTCCAAAATCGGAAGTCTCCCACCTAAATAGTGAGAGTTGGCAAGTATGATATTGTTATAGCATGATTGTATATGCTTTTGTATTGCGATACATTTTGTGGTAGTTTTCAAACACAAATGCTCAAGTGACCTTTTACTGTTTATCCGATTTTGTCATTCATAGCCTTTCATCCAATGAAAATTGACATTTCATTTACATCTCTATAAAAGTCATAAGTAAGGCCTAGGGTCATGTTATTTGACCAGTAGGTGGTTGGGATGGACAGCAATCAAAATTGTTAAGGTAAATATAACCGTCATATTTATTAGGGTTGATCGTTCAGTTGGCGGTAACTCCTGTAACCTTTGAAATTTTCAAATTATCTGTATACTGGTACTTTTCTTTCCAAATCAAATGGTATCAAAATTTGAGGGGAAAATCATAGGGATCTGCCTGTACGTTTGTTTGTTTGTATGTATGTAGTTACATACATGTTCAATGTAGTGTTAGACTTCATTTCTTTTCTGATTGTCATGATCATGAAACTTCAAACATATGTTAACGAAAATCATCTCTTTTCACCTTTCAACCTCTGAGTTTAAAACTAGGTCACTATTAGTATAAATAGAATTATATATTATATTTGTCTCTGCAGACTTCATTTATTTTCCTATCATCACAAAATTTCACACTCATGTAAACAAACATCACCTCTTGCATGAGTTCACATTTCGACCTGATGCAGTGAAAAACTAGGTCACTGTTACTATAAATAGAGAATGATAGAAATTGCTCTACAGTCTTCATTTGTTTTCTGATCATTGTACACTTTACAGATATGTTCACTTTTTGACCCATCTGTTGTCAAAAACTTGGCATTTCTTATGACTTCGAAGTGTGAGGGTATTTGTATCATCTGTGATGACTTGTTATTCTTGCTTACTCTTGTATACTGATCATTAGAGATGTAAACAAATCAAGCGTGACGCCTATTGACCTTTTATGATGTACAAAAAAATGTACATACCAAAAGGTACTAATGTAACATAGTTTGCGTTGTATTCAAAGTCTTTTTTTAACTAAACCTGTTGAATGAATCAATCCAAAAGAAGTTAAGCATTTAGTCTGTACTGTGTGTGTCGGATAAAGCGATGAATCCCCAAAGAACTTAAATGACTCTGCTTCATGCAAGGGTGAATTTCCTTTATATTAATTGTGCTCACACTAGGCTTAACATCCTTTCAGCATTAGTTGCTAAAAAACCTTTTTAGCAAATATGGATTAAATCTAACAACTTTTTTCTGAGCAGTATGTAGTAATTTAGAGCCCCAATTTCAATGACATTATGTGAATATGTACTGCAGCAATTTATTTGACATTCATTTACATTGATCGTCAGATACGTTGAACCGATCCAAACTGATCCCGTTCTACTTTAAGTTAATTAGGTCATTATGCATGTTTTATTTTCTATTTTCAGCATTTTTAAAGAAATGAAACAAATACCTAAACTGAACATCGTTAAGAAACTGAAGAGCAATCATTGTTATTTGTTAGACTAGCCTTTACATTCTGGAACTGTAACCTACTGCTGTTATCTAATTAAATAGAAATAAAATATTGACAATTTAAATCCTTTGGGGCAAATACAATTAAGAACAATTCTTCTTTTACAGACATTTATAATTAATAGTTTGTCCTTGGAAAAAGATCAGAGGCTTTTAATTAATCACTATTATCCTAGGTACAAATTTTAGTTTTTTGCTTTTGGTTTATTGTTAGTTATAATTGACCATTGATTGTTCTCTACTTCGGTAAGATATTAATGGATGAATGTAAATCTGTTTCTTATAATATGAAACAATTAAATCATAACAACTTGCATCGATTTATAACATTAAGAAATGAATAATATAAAATATAGAGTACCAGTTATGATGCTTTAATATCCTGCCCAACAACAAAGGCATACAAGTCAAAACTAAAGAAAAATAAACTAAATTACATGTATATATAACTAGTGGTTATGAGCCAACATGTTCAGGTGTTGATTTACTCTTTAAAGGATTTGACAGCTAATATCTAGACATGATGAGGAATTAAATAATGAAAAGTCAAATTAATTATGCATGGTTAAATTTTATGTATTTACGAAGTCCCATTCAAATTCCATGTATTTACATATAAAAACCAGGGTAAACTGAATGTTGACGTCAGGAGTAAATTATTGATTTTATTTTTATGGGAAAAAAAGATGAAATTCAAATAATGTGTTGGAAATGTGACAGTAGCATGATATGTGTTGTATCCTGTCGTGACCTGCACACACAACTATTTTGTGAACCTCTGATGATTATAGAGTCATCTTGCTTCTTGAACTATATATTGCCACAAACACATACTTTACATGTTCAAGTTCCTACATAAAATGTTATATATTGATAAGGAGGGGGTTTAGATAAGATAAGATAAGTTTCATTGAGTTTGAACTGTCCTTGATTCTTTTGATGAAATCTCACTGCATGATCAATTTAATTTCGTCTGAATCGTATTTATCTAGACTTGACATACATGTAATGGCAAATTTGAAGGAAATTTGAAAACTAAGGTAGGGTTATTTTAATAAGGTTACAACCAGAGTTGTTATAAATATAATATCACTACTTTTAATAGCAACTTCAATGTAGCTCAGTAACTTATCCATTATATAGCGACCTATAGTGCCTGCTGACACTAGCAAGTCTTGTCAACTGGACTAAAATAAAATAAACTTATCAATATATATGTTGCTAACTTGTAAGGTGATGGAAATTTAATAAAAAAAACCTACCATTTCCATTTCCGAATGACTTTTATGACATGTAATGGTCAGTGAAAGGGTTTTGGGATGAATATTTTACTGAAATCATCTACTTTCATTTTTGACTTGCTTCATCAATCTAGATCACATAGACGTTTGCATCGGATACGGTTCAAACGTTTGAGTTGTGACACCAATGTCCTGCTGATGCTGAATTCAATACAGACGAAAAATCTTGCAAGAATGTAGCGAAATTGGTATATTTTCTTTTCCCAAATAAGGATCTAATTTCTTCAATAACAAAGTGAATGACTAGCGAAGCACAGCTAAAGCTCAAGTCATAGGACGTAGTGTGATAGGTATTAATTGTACATGTGATCATGGTTGCCTTCTATCTTTACGCTAGAGGGAATTTCTCTTTAATTTACTCAGTAGTGTGGCAGACTGGGAAGATGGGGGTCTCTAGTTGGATCCTAGGTGGAAGCATGTTACTCTCTTTCTGTTACACAATCTGAAACATGATTTAGTACTTACAATTGTTTAAAGTCCTGTAAAACCTTGATTGGTTTAATGTATTAGTATAAATGAAAGAATGTAAACCCGGCTGAATTGTCCATCATTAGATTGAAAAATACCCCAGTGAAATGATTTGAGTGCCTAGCTACTTAAATTTATGTAAAACCTATATACAGTTGATATCAAATGATTATGTACACTGTACTGTGTATAACATTGCATGAATTCCCGCCGCGAACCCCAGTCAATGATAGTTGCCAAGTTAGCAGATTGTCTGATTAATGCTTACATGTGTATTGATATAGGAGGTCACAGTGGTGTGCTTGAC